CAGTGCGATTGAAACTTCGTGGCCACACTCAAGGGGCCAAAGAGCCGCATGTGGCTCGCGAGCCGCAGTTTGCCAACCACTGCCCTATCCCAAGGGTGACTTCCAGCAATTACAGTACCGTTACTGCATCAGCAGAAATAAAACAATTCATGTTTTATGTCAGAGGGACCTCAGCATGGTGTGATGAGGTAAGGGTCTCTGAAAGTTGCCTGGCTCCTTGATTGTGATCGGAAGTAGAAGCAAATCAATGGCTGGGTATGGTCCTTGGCAATGTCTGTGCTTATCACAAGGGAAGACTGGAGAAGGTTTCACATCTTCTCTGAGGCACAAAGACACTGGTAACCTAGGAAACACACACTCACTCTCACATACACTCATACTCTCATATGCACACACCCTTACACACTTACACAGTCTCCCTTTCTCTCTATATCTATATCTATATCTATATCTATATCTATATCTATATCTATATCTATATCTATATCTATACTATATCTATATCTATACTATACTATATCTATATCTATATCTATATCTATATCTATATCTATATCTATATCATCTATATCTATATCTATACTATATCTATATCTATATCTATCTATCTATATATGTTTTTATTTTTAAAAAATTTTACATGCAAAAAACATTAATATTTCAAAAAAACTATTTTAAATATAATAATGTTACATGCAACGAGCATTAATATTTCAAGAAAAACGATTTTAAATTTAATAATGTTACATGCAATGAACATTAATATCTCAAGTCACATGGATTCTTTATGGAAAAAAAAAAGAAGAGGTAGGGGTGGTGACATTGACCTTGATGTCGATACATTTTACAGTAATTCAACAACCCTAAGAAGCAAACACCTTACCAGGCAAAAGCAGTGTGCCGCCGGCTACGCCGAGGGCTTCCGGAAGCTTCCAGAAAGTTTTGGAAAGTTCTGGAATCTTCCGGAAGGTTCTGGAAGGTTCTGGAAGCTTCCAGCAAGCTCCTTAGGGAATTTTGCTAGCCACAAATTCATCTCGCCCAGTAGGGGTCACTAAAAGCAAGGAGTAAGGTTCAAGGCAACAGCTCATTCATTAAAGAGCAACACCGAACACTTAGGATTAATTCAAGGGGGAAAAAAAAGAAGTAAAAAAAAAAATCCTGGAGTGATAATTAAAAACAACAACAACAACAAATAATCAATAAAAATGAACAGAAATAACTAAAATGAATCGCTGTTTTTTTGTTTGTTTTGTTTTTTATAAAAGGAGTTCATTGCCTGGCTATATGGTGGCTCCGTGGTTGAGCGTCGACCTATGAACCAGGAGGTCCCGGGTTCGATTCCCAGTCAAGGGCACATGCCCGGGTTGTGGGCTTGATCCCCAGTAGGGGGCGTGCGGGAGGCGGCCGATCCCTGATTCTCTCTCATCATGGATGTTTTTCTCTCTCTTTCTCTCTCCCTCTCTCGGAAAACAATAAACATTTTTAAAATGAAAAGATTTCACCCCATAAAACGCGAGATGCTTTCACACTAATATTGGCTCCTGACTTTGATAAGCCATCAACCAGCATTTGCGATAACCCTGAACTTCAGAAGGTGAACATAGGTATTGATCTTACAAATATGTGAGTTACATTGTCTTTTAAAATATATATATTTTTATTGATTTCAGAGAGGAAGGGAGAGAGAGAGAAACATCCATGATGAGAGAGAATCATGGACCGGCTGCCTCCTGCACGCCCCCTACTGGGGATGGAGCCCACAACCCGGGCATGTGC